TAAAAGCAGAGCCTGATATGAAATAGATTAAGTTTAAAAGAAAAAATGTCAGAAACTGGCCCCTTCCAAATCACAACTGCAAAATTAAAGGGAAGAGGAAAACAAGAATTAGCAGGATTCTTTACACAACAACCAGGAGATTTTAGTGGATTTCAAATTCAATATAAGCCAATAGTGCAATGACACCAATAACGAGGTGTGCTGTGCCAGCACAGCCAAGGGTTCGGTGAGCCTGAGGAGGGGTGGCAAAGGATGTAGAAAAGACAGACAAAGAGAATAAGCTGGGTCTAGGTCAGTGATGCCGAACCTATGACACGCATGTCAGAGGTGACACACGAACTCATTTTTTTGGTTGATTTTTCTTTGTTAAATGGCATTTAAATATATAAAGTAAATATCAAAAATATAGGTCTTTGTTTTACTATGGTTGCAAATATCAAAAAATTTCTATATGTGACACGGCACCAGAATTATGTTAGGGTTTTTCAAAATGCTGAAAGGCCAAGCTCAAAAGGTTCGCCATCACTGGTCTAGGTGGATCTTCCTGTGCCTGGCTGAGGCCACAGAGAGAGATCCAGACAGCAAGCTGAGCCTTTATTTTATAGCCAGAGGTAAACAAGGTAGTGGTCACCATAGTTACAATGTTCTTGTGAGTTTCACTTGTTTTGGCAGCACTTGCTGCATCTCCCACAGCCCATTAGCTACCCAGGTAAGATCTAGGGAGCCATAAGGTCAAGCCTAATTATGCTAAGAGGACTGTGCCCTCTAAGCTGGGACTTGTTTGTGGCTTTGCCAACAGTCAGTTCGGGGCTTAACCCTATAGCCGCTCCCTACAATGAGAGAAAATGCTAAGCAATTGAATAAGGGGGTGGGGAGAACTATGCAGGAGCTAACATGATGTGTTTCATTAATACAGAAACAAAAATTTGTAGAGTTTGAGTCACAGGTGGAGCATTTGTTGAACTTTAAGGCCATAGTTTAAGGGGAACACTGATAAACTGGAATGTGCCTCTTCATCTTTTAAATGATGCAATGTTACAATTACTAGCCCAAGAGAGAAACTTGAAAGTCACCTTTGACTTCTATCATCCCTTTCAGTCCTCACATCCAACTAATTAATAATTTTGTTATTATAGTCAACATCTATTTACCCCTGTATCCTGAGCACTGAGCCCCATCGTCTAAGGCAGTGGTCGGCAAACTGCGGCTCGAGAGCCACATACGGCTCTTTGGCCCATTGAGTGTGGCTCTTCCACAAAATACCACGTGCGAGCGCACGAACAGTGCAATTGAAACTTCGTGACCCATGCGCAGAAGTCGGTTTTTGGCCTGGGCGAGTCTATTTTGAAGAAGTGGCGTTAGAAGAAGTGGGGGTGTCGGTGGTCAGTGGGGCGACGGGAGATGCGGCGCAGGCAGGCACGGGACACGCAGTGCGGGGGAGGTACATTGTTTTAAGGTATGTTCCTGAGGTCGACCCCTTCCA